AATGACTGATAGTTTTGGCAGCCTCGGCCACGCTGCCTTCGCAATGTTTTGATCTCGGCGGTCCACTCGGGAAGACAGAATCTCGTCAGCAGGGAACTGCAACTGTCTAGAGAGCAAACTCGATAAAAGCTGTCCCCAGTAACGGAATGTGTCAACCATATATTTGGTGGGGAGGAATCGACACATACGGTTAACTCAATGGCCGATATGACTACCAGCGCCACCCTACGGGACTATACGCAGAAGCATTTTTTGTTATGAGCTCTTTTCTGCCCTTTTGTCTCCCAGTGGAGCATAGACCATCAACCATCTCATGCCAGATTATTCTATCTTTTGCTATTGTGTGTAGCCACCCTATGTCCTATCTGTCTTTTTCACTTAACTCTCTGATTCCGTTCCGCACAAGCCGTCATCTGGACACCAGATGGGGAAAAAAAACGGGGAAGACCAAGAGACTCTGCATAGAACCATCATCAGGGAAAGCTCAACCAGAGGCCTAATGAACAACCAAGACCTAAAACAGGTGGCAAGGAACCTCCAGACATGGAGAGATTTGACCTATGCGTCGCCCTAGGCTCAGAAGGAAAGATTAATTCTTCTTTCTTTCTTTTGTTATCTCACTGATACCGGCTTGTAGCCGAGTGTTGTAGTTTTCTGTATTTGTCTTACTCTTCTTGAGTAGCGTGAGTGATGCATTTGTTCATCCTTTTGCATGTTTCAGCTACACCATTTTTCCATGTCTTTCTTGGTCTTCCTCTTGCCTTGCTCCCAGGGGTTATGCTGTAAAAAGTCTCATATGCAGTCTGGTCTGGCTGCATTCTCACTAGATGGCTGAACCATTTCATTCTTTGTCTGTCAGTATAATCCAGACATGGTCTTATTCCAACTTTCTCTCTAATTTACTAATTATTTCCTTCGCTGTGTGGGTCGCAGTGCTGGCACATTCTGTAAAGCAGGCAAGTCAGGCACATTATTCTTGCCAGTGTTGACCGTGCATATGATAGGTTAGTAAGTAAATGTAAAGATCCCTTTTCACGCCTTTAGGCGTATAGGGAATATAGGGCTAGACCTATATTTTTATAGACAAATCGACACAGGATGGGTAATGTGGTCAACATCATGCCGGACGCATTTACTTCCCGGAACTGCACCCGATACCCACTCAAGGCTGGGTCGACCTGGGAGTCAAGAGTGCTTATGATACTAGACTCATATTTGGGGGGGGGGGCAGTCAGCCCTCGATAGGTGATGTGTTCAGTATCTTCTTCTTCTTCTTCTTCTTCTTCTCTTCCACCTTGTACCTCATCGAAGTGTCGGGGGGAGATGTAATGTTCGTTGATGAGCTCTGTCAAGAGCACTATTAAGACTGATGTTCATTTCTGTAAGGCTGTTCTTAATGCCATCACTCCATCTTTTCCGAGGTCTTCCACTCGCTTTATACCCGTTGTAACGTTTTAGTGTGGCTCGCTGTGGCAGATAGTACCAGGGCATTCTTGTTAGGTGTCCAAACCATTTCATTTGTTGTTCTTTGATGACCTGTAAGACTGGCTTTATTCCTAGCATTCGTCTGATTTCATGATTTTGTATTCTGTCTTTCCTTGAAACTCCTGCAGCTCTTCTAAGGCATTTCATCTCTGTTGTCACAATTTTACGTTCATTGGAGGATGTAAGTGTCCACGTTTGGCACTGATAGCATAGTATTGGCCAAAAAATAGTTCTGATAAGATTCACTTTAGTACTCTGAGGTATCTGCTTGTGTGTCAACAGGGAAGATAGTTGGCCCATTACTTGATTAGCTTTGGCACATCTGGAGCTAATTTCTCTGTCCAGTTTTCCGTCTGAAGTAAAAATTGCTCCCAAATACTTAAATTCCTCTGTTTGTCTCAGGGTGTTGTTTTTTAATTTAATTTCTAAATTGTCTTTATGTCTTCCTATCATCATTGTCTCTGTCTTCGTAGTGTTTATTTTCATATTATATTCCTCCCCTTTGTTACTAATTTGATTTAGGTGGTTCTGTAGGCATTCCATATTTTCTGCTATGAGTACCTGGTCGTCGGCGAAAAGTAATTCTGTTATATCTTCTTCCTGATTAAAGTCTGTTTCGCTACATATGGCGTCCATGTATGTTATGAAAAGAAGCGGCGATAGTACACAGCCCTGACGCACACCAGAGTTCACTATAAAAGTTCTTGACAACCCTGCCTTCGATCTTATGCAGCATTTACTACGTGTGTACAGGCTTTTGCAAATATTAATGAGATGATTGCTGATTCCTTTTTTTCCCATACATTCCCACAACATATTCCTGTTGACTATCGAAGGCTTTTTATTTTTATTGGTCTATGAATGTCAACAAACATGTCTTATCATGTTCTATTGCCCTCTCTGATAGTTGTCTCAATGTATAAATGGCATCTGTGCAACTTCTGTTTCGTCAAAAGCCCATCTGTGCTTCTGAAAGTTGATACTCTATCAATGGTCTCAGCCTTTTTTCAATGATCTTAGCATACATTTTCCCAGTGTGACTGAGAAGTGATATTCCTCTGTAATTAGTACATTTCCTCTTACTTCCTTTATTTTTCCACAGCGGGACAATGACAGCAGTTTGCCAATCTGATGGTGTTTCTTGATTTTCCCATGCCACCTGAAATATTCTCTTTAACCATATTGCTCCCGTTTCTCCTGCTGCCTTGATGGCCTCAGCTGGTAGATCATCAATACCTGTCGCCTTTAGTCTAGGCGCGGTTCGAATGGCATATTTTACCTCATCCAATAATATACCTGGTTCTAGTTCCTCTGCTGTTAGTTCTGAGTTGTTTTTATGTTCTTCCCTGCTTTTATCTGTTTTATTGCAGCTAAGTAATGCTTCAAAGTAATTACTCCACCTTGCTAAGATTTTAGTAGGTTCTATTAAAGGTTGGCCAACTTCATCATTTATAATTTCTGTTGGGTTGTATTCTTCATTCCTGTTTCTCATGCCTTTGATTTTTTTGTAGTAGTTTTTCCACTGCTGATCTTTCTTCTTCAGCCAGCTTGCTTCCAAACTTTTCCCATGAATCTCTTTTTGCTTTTCTGATAGTTCTATTTACTTCTCTTCTAATTTTCCTGTATGTTATCTAATCCTCTTCTGTTCTGCTCCTCAACCAAATGCCATAAGCTTTCTTTTTACTGCTCTCAATACTTCTTATTTCTTCAGACCACCATGTTGAGAGCTTACGCCCTATGTTACCTTTCCTTTTAGTTCCACATATTTCTTGTGCTATTTTCATAGTGGTGTCTCTGAAATTCAACCATTCTGTATTTACCCCAAGAGTGTTTTGTGGAAGCTGTTCATAATTTTCCTGTAATTTTTGCTGAAACGCTCGCCTGTTTTCTTCACACTCTAGTTCTTTCCATTTTATTATGTCACTTTTATTACATTTCTTTTTGGTTTGATAACTTATCTTGATTTTTCTGTCAAGGATCACCATCCTATGATCTGTATCTAAACTCAAGTTTGGTATAACTCTCGCATCTGTAACTTGATGAAAGTCTCTTTTTCTCGTCAAGATGTAATCAATCTGACTCTTGGTATCTGGATCATTCCATTTATACCATGTAAAAACTTGTGAAGCTCTATGTTGAAAAAAGGTGTTGGTAATAACAAGGTCATGTTGTGTACATATCCAACAGTCTTTCGCCATTTTCATTTCTAATGCTGTTGTCTCCATAATTGCCTAGGTATCTTGTGAATGTTCTTCTGTCTCGCCCTGTCTTACCGTTAAAATCACCCATCACGATCAGTTTCTCGTTATTATCTATCTTACAAATTTCATCATCCAGGTTCTCAAAGAAATAATCTAAATCCTCTTCACTGTAATTTCCATTGCACGGAGCATATATCTGAAAAAACACCTCCGAACTATTTCCTACTTGTAATTTCAAACTTATAATTCTTTCCGAGATGTAGTTAACTTCAAGTATATTTTTTGCAGTTTCGGGATCGATGACAAATCCCACTCCATGCTTCGCACGTTGCATTTCCTCTACTCCCGATTGTATCAAAACGTAATTTTTATGTAGTTTCTTCATTCCTCGTCCTTTCATTCTCACTTCTGATAAGCCTAATACTTTAACATTATATTTCTCCATTAATTCGATCACTTGTTCTTCTTTATTGCCCCATCCACATATATTGATTGTCCCTACCCTGGTCTTAACCTTCTGCTGGCCTCTATTTTCCCTATTTCTAAAACATCTCCTATTTTCATCTTGGGCATTTCTTTTTGTTCAGTATCACACCAGGTATATTCTTCGTGTGGGTTCCGGGGCCCTGTTATAGTGAAAACAAGATTAGACCCACTGCCTGCCCAATAGCAGAGTGACTAATTGGGAGCTACCTTTGAAGTCGGAGTGCATCTGCCTGAGAGGCAAGGAACCAGCAGTCTCTGCATACAAATGAGTAAGGTCTGTAAAACAGATGCACACGCAACACTTAGGTCCTGGAACAGGACTACAGTCCAGAAGTGGATGAACAACCAGAACTTTCCGCCAGAGTTTACAGCTGGTGAACGCGGAGATGAAGAAGACAACAAGTATATTCTGGTTATATTGTTGTCATTGTGTGTCCTATCCAATGACAGCAGCTTTTCTTCACTTCCCTATTCACTGGAATTAATTTAATTCTCTCTCAAAGGTCTACATTAGTGATTTTGTCATACCATTTAAAACTTTCGATTCAACAGGTTATTTATTATTGTCCATTTGATTCCAACAGGTTGGAGCTATCATACTGACGCCGACCAGGTTATTTATTATTGTCCATTTGATTCCAACAGATTTCCCCAATCATACTGACGCCGGCCAGGTTATTTATTATTGTCCATTTGATTCCAACAGGTTGGAGCTATCATACTGACGCCGGCCAGGTTATTTATTATTGTCCATTTGATTCCAACAGATTTCCCCAATCATACTGACGCCGGCCAGGTTATTTATTATTGTCCATTTGATTCCAACAGATTGGGGCTATCATAATGACGCCGACCAGGGAGCTGGCCGAACAGATCAGTGAAGTTGTCAGTCATTTCCTCCGGTTCCTGCCCCAGCTCACATCCTGTTGTTTTATTGGCGGTGCCAACCCACAGTCGGATATTGACAAGTTTATTGCACATGGGTTAGTCGATAAAGATGGTTGTTGTATCCACATGCTTGGAAGTGCTGTCCTGTAGCCAGTCATTGTCAAGTTTATTCTACACTGGTTCTCTCTTTTTTCACTTCTTCTTTTACTGCTTTGGCTGTTGACAGAGATATAAGGTTCCGCTTCTTGCTCTTCTTCTGCCTTGACCGTAGACACATTGCACTGTTGTAGTTTCTGTAATGTTATCTTTCCATCTTAATCTACCTTGTACTCTGCTGCTGAAGATGGGGATTGCGCACTTATGGGAGTGTCCTGAGGGCTGTGATGTCGATTCTTAATTCAACATTCAGCAGTCTCCTTTGACTTTCACAAATTGGCTAATTATATGCAAACTCCTCTTGATTAGGTCCCTGAGCTAAGGAATTGCATGACTAGATATTTTTTACTGTTTAACTAACACATCACATCATTTTGTTGTTGTCCATTTATCTTTATTCCAACATTATTTTGTGTCCTTTTTCTCTCTTGTTCTACGTCCTGTATGGTTTGTGTATGGTTTGTGTATGGTTTGTGTATGGCTTGTGTATGGTTTGTCGTTACAGGGCATTCTTTTTAAGTGGGCAAACCATTTTATTTGCTGTCTTAGTTAGTAATTTATAATTGGCTCTGTGCCAACTTTTTTCTTTCTTGTGATTTTATCGCTTCTGGTCACTTCTGTAATCCTTCTCAGGCATCTTTTTTCCCCGTGGTTACTGATTTTCTTCTCTTGTTTGTTGCGAGTGACCATGTCTGGCATTGGTAGCACAGAGTAGGGATGAATATGCTTTGTATTAGATGTCCCAATACATGATGTGATGCTTTACTGCATCTGATGTCAATTTCTTCATCAATTTTCCCCGGTGGGCTGCAGCTCAGTGGTGGATGAACACTGCTGTCAGTGCTTGAGACCAGGGCTGTTCAAACTAAATTTACTCAGGGGCCAGTATTGTTTTAATTGGGGATTGTCATAGGCCAGAGTCCTGAGCCCCAGCCGACGAAGCTTAATTGTTAAGTTGAGTCAAGAATTTACCTCACAGCACTCGGGGCATTCCCATGTGTATTCTGTCCTCTTCTTCAGCAGCCAGGGCAGAGTTCCAGTACTGGTGGTACCAGTCACAATCTGGTTAAACGTCCGTCTTGCCTTTCCTCTGAGTGTAGTCAGGCGGCCAGACCCTCTGGTTACACCCAGGTGCCTCATTCTCTCCCGGCCATAAAGCTCATTAATACAATACAACTAGCAGTGATCCTCAGGGCGGCTTGCTAGGTCCGCACAGGCTAGATTTGCTCCACAGGCTGCAAGTTGAATAGCCCTGCTCCAAACTGTCTTTCATCATCATCCTCTTGTGCCATTATAGGGCTTGCAGTAGTCCTGTGTTCCGTTCTGTCCTGTGCAATCCTGTCTGTATCATGGATGGAGTCCAGTCCAGGACCATTTGGCTGCTCTCAGCCAAGTTTGTTTTACCTGGACATCTGGTTTCCTCAGTTCATCTGTTTCCACTTTCGGTGCCTGTTGGGTAGTTTTATGCTTGCTTCATCTCAGGATGTGTGCAGTATGGTGTCACCTTCAATTTATAACTGTTGGTATCAATGTTTGTCGATTTCTCCTTTAACATTGTTTGTCCATTCTTCTTATATCAGTGTTTGTCCATTCTTCTTATATCTGTGTTTGTCCATTCCTCTTATATCAGTGTTTGCCCATTCTTCTTATATCTGTGTTTGTCCATTCCACTTATATCAGTGTTTGTCCATTCTTTTTATATCAGTGTTTGTCCATTCTTCTTATATCAGTGTTTGTCCATTCTTCTTGAATCAGTGTTTGTCCATTCTTCTTATATCAGTGTTTGTCCATTCCTCTTATATCAGTGTTTGTCCATTCTTCTTATATCTGTGTTTGTCCATTCCTCTTATATCAGTCTTTGTCCTCTCTAGTTTCTTATCAGCTGTCTGTACTGGTGGCAGAGCATTTATGGTTTATAATTGTGTGCAGTGACGCTGGTTGACATCTCCTGACTTTACTTTTACTTTATCTTTTACTCAGTTCTTCATCAGAGAATTGAAAATCAAAACTTGATAAAGAAATTGGTCAGAACATTGGTTCATAACCAAGAGTCTGCCATCTTAATGAGCAGCCCAGTTGTATATTTTAATTCATTTTTGTTATCAGCTCAATATATTATAAATAAATAATCCAGTTTTGTCCTTTTTAGGACACAATTTTTGTTATTTGAAGCCCCACCCTGGCTTTTGCCAGGGGCCGCAATATAGGCAGGCCATAGATGTGGCCAATTGCCTGAACGCGGTTTCTGGGACCTCTCCACGGCGATCCTCATCCACATGGTGGCACTTTGTGTCATCGGGTGTTTGTCGCTTGTGTGGTGTCCTGGTGGGCTAGAAAGTCAGTCAGTCATATCGGCTCAACGAAAGTCATCCATATTTGTCATAATTTCGAGAATCTAGTAAGTACCTGTTAACACTGTAAATTGATTCATGCTTTTTTTTCCCAAGAGGTCACATTGTAATAGCTACTCCTGGAAGGTTGGAAGATCTTTTCCAACGAAAGGTGGCTGGATTCACATTGGCGGCCAGTGTCAAAGCTCTGGTATGTTGGAAATCCATCTTCATTCTTCCTTCCTCCTTTCTCCTTTTACTGCCCGCACATTAATTGACTCAAGCCAAGACCTTTATAGCCATGTTCATAGTTGCTTCGATTTTGTTTTTGGTGTATTCTGTGGGATGAGTTAACCAATCTGACACCAACCTTTGTTGCCTATTTTGACATGCCTGGTAGGTTTTAGGGATTCTGGTAATCCGGCAAATCACAGTTCCAGCTTCAAAGCAAATGTTACCCCATATTTGCTCTGTTCCTGGGCCAACGAAAAGCACATGGAATGTCCATCACTGCCCATTGTGACAAAAATTGACAAACTGCAGACTCAGCAAAGCTGGTAGCATACACACGCATAGTTAGTTAGTTAGTTAAAGGTTTCAACATCACCGCATTGGGTTTCCCCATACTTGCTCCATTCCTGTGCCAGTGTGAATCAAACGAAATATCCCTCGCTGTCGCATATGAAAACAATCCAGAAATATGTGCACTCAGTAAATGCTCGAGGTGCCAAAGCCAACAATGGCCACCAGAAATGCAGTTTGTCGTTGATGGAAGTAGTTGGGCATGATAAGTTGGTTACTATACATACGTAGAACTCCTACATAAGGTATTTCACCAGCTCACAGTAAACCGGCCACCAGCCATATTGAACAAAACAACACAACAGCTGCACAAATGAAATGCATTCCATAGGAAAAACACAGCTCACAGGGCTGCAACCAAGCACTAAACTCATTAGCTCAGGCAGCAGAACCGTAGACTACTGCCCTTATGTGGAAACTGCATTAGCAAGGCGCTGTCGGACACAAAAATAACTTTGAAGCTCAACATTCTGCCAAGCCTTTCCTCCATTTTGGCCGGAAGTTAACATACACACACATGAAATGCATAAAGCAGCCAACACAAACAGTCTAACAATAGAAATTGAGTACATCATCAATGGAAACAGCAGTTGCAATAGATCAGTAATTACACATGCAATTAATCAAATAAGGCATCACCAGTTATCTGGCAACAGGCTACTTGCCATTTTCAAGGATTCTGTTATTTGCTTCCTATGTAAGCCCTGTTCATCATTATCATCATTTTGTGTGTGTGCCGTTAGACGTCACATAGGGCTCGCAATTTATTCCTCCTCCTCTCTGTTGCATGCAACTTTCTTGATTTCTGACATGGAGTTCAAGCCCACCATTTTTAGCCTCTTTTAGTAATGTTCTTTCTAATGTTTTGTCTCAGAGTGGGTCCAGTATATCCCCACCTTCTTGATCTTTTTGCAGTTCATGCCGGTATTTTCTTTTATAATCTCCTCACTCTTCATGGGTTCATCCCATTTTCTATTCATGATTTTTCAGACATTTATTTTCAAATGCATCTAACTTTAATACCTGGTGACTTTTCCCCCTAGTTTTTAACTCTTCAGCTCATTAAAGTTGTTTTATCTCTTTGAGACTCGGAGTTGTATTTTTATTTTATGATTGTATGGGACAGAAAGAGTCAGTAAGCAGTGAAGTAAAAGGGGACCATCATCATATACCCATTTATATTTGGTCGAGGAATTGACGGATTCTGGCCCACTGCGGTTGTGAGGTGGACAGGCCAGGCTTTGTATGTTGAACGGTGGACATTTTTAACTTACTAATTTTTTTTCTGTCCTAATTTTAGGAAATGTTAATACTAGACGAGGCAGACAGACTTCTGGACATGGGATTTGAAACAAGGTAAGCGGTTATTTTGTTATCATGTTGTGCCATGTCAGTCTCCTGGGTTCCAGAGCCTCGATGTGGGGAAAACAAGAATAGACCCAAGGCTTACCCAAAAAGCATTTCGTAAGAGTCAACTAATTTAGGGCTTCCTTCGAAGTCAGAGTGCATCTGCCTGAGAGGCAAAGCACTAACAATCTGCTTACAAATGAGTCTCATCTGTAAAACTGATGTGCACGCAACACTCAGGTGCTGGAACAGGACTGGAGTTCAGAAGTGGATGAACAACCAGAACTTTCCACTAGAGTTTACAGTTGGTGAATGCAAAGAAGAAGAAGAATTTCCCCAGCATATAGCAGGGGCAAACTATTGAGTGCAGAATTTCCTAGTAAAACCACGAGTAACAAATACTTGGGTTGGTTTGCAGCTTCTCATAAATGATACGGCAGTTAACTTTCTGTTGTGCATTATTATATTAAAATTATTTTCTAGAAATTATGAAATTCAGGAAACATATATTTTGTAGCTTTTTACAAATTTTGATATTAATAAAAAAGATATTTTGTATCTTTTTACAAATTGTGATACCCAGAAAACATATTTTGTAGCTTTTTATAAATTATGATACTCTGGAAACGATATATTGTGGCTTTTCACAAATTAGGATACTCATTATGCAACAGATTCATTGAGAAACAGAAGATCAGATAGTTTGGTCATCTAGTAAGAATTCAGCCAGATCAACAACAACGCAGGCGTTATGCAAGAAAAGATCTGAAGTGAAAGCAAAAGGCTGCCCTTGGAGATAATGGATTGATGACATTAAACAGCTTCTACAGTGACATAGAATGACAATACCCTTGCTGCCCATCAAGCAGTGGAAACTGTTCCTCCCCATTACACTAAATGGTGGAAGTTGATGATGATGACGATACAAATTATGATAATCATTGAATCAGGACAATTCAGCTGGGCTAAATCTAGCCTGGGGAGGCCTGGCAAGTGGCCAGTGAATCATTGTCAGTCATATTGTATTAATGATTTGTGTTTGCTGTGGTCTGTGACAATTCCCCTTTTCAAAATTGTGCCCACTGAGTAAACTTGGTTGAGTAGCCCAGCGTTCAATTTTGCCCGTTGAGTTAACCTTGTTGAGTAGCCCAGCATTACATTTTGCCTGCTGAGTTAACTTAATCGAATAGCCCAGCATTAAATTTTGCCCGCTGAGTAAACTTTGTTTGAATAGCCCAGCATTACATTTTGCCCACTGAGTAAACTTTGTTTTAATAGCCCAGCATTACATTTTGCCCACTGAGTAAACTTTGTTTGAATAACCCAGCATTAAATAGACATGTTTTGGCTCCTAGGAAAAGCCAAATAAACATTTAACCACTTGCAACTGACACTACTCTTAATCAAACAGCACTGGTTTCTGATTAGGATAGAACACTCATGGAAATGCCCTAAGTGCTGTTCTGCACGTGCTGAATAATATATATGTATATTTTCAGTGTCTGTGGCTTAGGCGATCCCGGCTGCGGACAGTTTGTCTTACGTTGGTTTCGACAATGATACGGAGAGCTGACTGTTAAGAAAGCAGTGGCCAACTACTGAATGTAAAATTCGCCTAGGAAAACCACAACGGCCACACACACAAAAACACGCTGCGGTTGGTTCTACAACGTCCTGTAAAGGAAACACAACTAACCATATATATATATATATATAAAACAGCAATCTGTATTTACCGCTTTAATAACAGTGTAGGTTAGAGTGGCTGGCCGAACGGTTAGAACGCTGGGCTCTCATGCTGAAGACCCGGGTTCAAATCCTCGGTAAGACTAGACATTTTTCTGTCAGGGACAAAATAAAATCCTCGCCTGTGCAGTTGTGGCGACAGCACTCACTAGTCATGCGGCCATAAATCCTCAGGCTTAAAGACCCCTGCCTACACCGCAGAAATGGTATATAAAAGCCGTTTGGTTTTTTTAATAACAGTGTAGTTACCATCAAAGAAGGGGCAGGGGCTGACCAACATGAAGATGGGCACAGGATATAAGTGACTCCTTGAGTGTGAAAGTATATGAAGTGGAAGAGCTGGCAAGAGACAAAATTTCTTCCAGGCAGGCCGTGATGAGAGCGACGTTCTGCAAAGGACCTGCTACATGATGATGATGATGATGTAGGGCAGAGTCAACTTTAACCTGAGGATTGAAGGCTGCATGGCTAGGATTTTATTTTTCCTCTGGCAGAAATCAATCCATCACTTTGCTAAAACCGGGGTCTCCTGAAAGGAGAGCTCAGCTTTCTTATTTTACTCAGTTTACTGCATAATAATTGTATAGCTTTGTTACAAATTATGATAGCTTTACTTGATTAATTTTGTGCAGCATCAATGCAATTCTGAGCTACCTCCCAAAATTGCGACGGACGGGCCTGTTCTCTGCCACACAAACAGACGAGGTTGCGAAGCTGATACGAGCCGGCTTGAGAAACCCACTTCAGATCACAGTGAAAGAAAAAGTCTCGAAAGAAGGTTACACTCCCAAGACACCGTCATTATTGAAAAACTATTTTATGGTAAGGTTGTCATCGTCATAAAACTTGTCAGATGGCATAAGTAGGTGTTTGTGTTTTTCTTCTCCACTTTTTTCTTCTTGTGTTGGCTTTCTGATTTACACTGACAGACAAGTTCTTGTGATGATAAACTACACTGTTTTTAGGAGTTCCCTTTGTGCTCCATACAACTTTGATTGCAGTGTTGACTCATTAGGACAGTGTGATTGCAGTGTTGACTCATTGGGACAGTGTGATTGCAGTGTTGACTCATTGGGACAGTGTGATTGCAGTGTTGACTCATTGGGACAGTGTGATTGCAGTGTTGACTCATTGGGACAGTGTGATTGCAGTGTTGACTCATTGGGACAGTGTGATTGCAGTGTTGATTCATTGGGACAGTGTGATTGCAGTGTTGACTCATTGAGACAGTGTGATTGCAATGTTGACTCATTGGGACAGTGTGATTGCAGTGTTGATTCATTGGGACAGTGTGATTGCAGTGTTGACCCATTGGGCCATTGTGATTGCAGTGTTGACTCATTGGGCCAGTTGCCAGTATGTTTGCAGTGTTGACTCATTGGGACAGTGTGATTGCAGTGTTGACTCATTGGGACAGTGTGATTGCAGTGTTGACTCATTGGGCCAGTGTGTTTGCAGTGGTGTTGACTCATTGGGACAGTGTGATTGCAGTGTTGACTCATTGGGACAGTGTGATTGCAGCGTTGTCCGCCTTCTGGCCCAGTATTTCCAACTTCAGGATCTCTTGAGAGGAAGAGTGGGCTTATCCCTTTGCCTTAACCTCTTTTGTTGTTCCATCTACTTACCCCCTGGGTGTTAAGACCCCAAGCTTCCATTGGATTGCTGGGAAGAACAGGGTCCACTATGTGAAGGTGAGTTAGGCTTGAGCAAGAGAGGCTAATAGACATTAAGAGTCTTGTATTGCGCATCATTGCTCCATTAGGACTCTGGGGTTTGTGTTGTAAACTGCAATTTCAGAAAATGGTGAGTAGCCTGTTGCGACAGAACTGGAGGTGCCTTGTAGATTTTTTGCCTGTGCAGCTGCTGATTTGTTGTATCTGGTGCTTCTATTGATTATGAACTACAAATCTAGTGGCGGACATTGTGTGTTGGTATTTATTTTGATTGTTTTATGCATTTAGTGCATGTGTTATGCTATTGACTGGGTACTTTATTAATATCCTACCCCAGATGACGTCACAGGACAGTCCAACATTTTAGAGGGTGGTAAGAGTGAGTTTCCTGGCTTTCTGATGATTTTAACGACCCCAAAACATCTATAACTGGCCCTAACCCGAACCCACCTACGTCCCACAAGAGAGTGCAGCCTAGGTCCCACAACTGAAATATTAGACTGTCCCGTGACCTGTGGATTTCCCCTGTTTAGGGTAGGATATTAATAAAGCACCATTGACTGTGCTGAGACTGCAGTCCGTCTCTATTTTGTGTGTGTGTGTGTGCAAGGGACAGCGATTTCCATTGTGTCATTTCTGCTAACACAGGAGTGGAGCGGTTGTGGGGTGACCCATTAGCTCTCAAGTGGAACTCGGAGTTACTGAATAAAGGATAGTGAAAGTGATCATGTCTCTCGGCAGATCAAGCTTCTTAATGTTCTGGATCAGTTGTCTTGATGATACCATGCTGTTGTCTTATATCATCCAGCATAATGTCTGTCTGCCTGCCTCAGCCTCTTCTACCACTGTTCAGTCACGGTGTTCTTCGAGAACTCCAGGTATTTCTCTCCGGTGGTACCCAGTAGTACACAGTACCGACACTTGTTTTAGGCATAATATTGTTCAGTGCTGCTGTAGTCAATAATTGTGAGTCCTGGCATCTTCTTTAGACGCTCCTTGGGGAGTATGAGCACCTTTATTAGACATTTTATTGTTAATATTAGCACTTTTTGTTTTAGACACATTTATAAAGCTGAAATTGAATGTGTTGGGCCAAAAGCTACAGTTATTACAGCCTAGCTGTAAACCACAACACAGTTGTTTAACTTGATGAATTAGGCTAATGTTTCCTGTCTTCCTGATGATTAGTTCCTAGAGGCGGACGAGAAGATGAGCCAGCTGGTCAGGTTCCTCCAGCTTCGCAAGAAGGAGAAGATCCTGCTGTTCTTCAGTACTTGTGCTTGTGTGGACTACTTCTCTTTGTGCCTCCAACAGTAAGTCTTGTTTCTCTTGGTCTTCGTTAAACAAAGATTTTAAATACTGTATGTGTCCATGCATAAGGTCTTAGTGGAGGCTTAGACTTCACAGCAATCGGGGGTTTCCCCATATTTCTCTGTTCCTGTGCAAATTAAATTAAATGTCTCCCATTGTCGCATAAAAAAACTGCTGAACAAACAATTAGTCTCGGAACAATTCAGAAATATGCGCATACAGTTAATGTATATTTCAGTTCTTCTATAAAGTCTGTGGTGCAGCGCATGTTTTCCTCTGATCCACACACCTTAGTTTCCATTGTAATACCACCTGGCCAGACATGGGGTCTCTCTGCTGCATGTAGAGAGCAAGTCTGTAGCGTGTGTTCAGTATTCTTTGATGCCTGTCCACAAGGCCAAAGTTTAATGTTGAATTAAGAATCAACATCATAGCACTTGGGACACTCCCATAAGCGCTCCGTCCACATCTTCAGCAGCAAACAAAGATTTCTAGTTCCGATGGTACTAGTAACTGTTGGATTGTATATCTGTCTTGCCTTTCACTTGAGTTTTGGGGGAAAGGAAGGGGGAGGGGGGCGAAAGGAAATGTAGAAATATTGGAAAATCTAGGTTTCAGTCCTTACGAACTGTTGCACCTACGGCGCTTCACTCTAAAGTATTTCTTATGTGTGCACAGGTATCTGCGGCACCTAAAAGAGACTCGCGACACTACAACCTCCCACAGGGACTCTATTCGGTGAGCGAACACCAAACGAAGCCATATCATAACAACCCTCAGCATAGGAAAAGGATTGAATAGGACAGGAAGTAACCCTCACCATGCCGACAATATCGTGCTAAGTTTCTTTTGCAGTATAGTAAATAATGTTCAGTATTATTAATTATTTGAAATACAGAACAAGTTCCACAGTTAGTGTGATCAGATAGATAGCAGTTGACAAAGTTGTTGTTGTTGTTGTTATCGATCCAGCGGCGCATGAGCTTTCGCCCTTTGGCCCAATGCCATGTAGTGGAATTTGCATGTTTTCACAAGCTGTTCTTTTCCTCCGTACAAGGTGTTCCACTTGTCTGGTCTCGGAGGGAGTAGCGTTCTTCTTGTCTCACTGAGTTCTGGGCACTCAAAGAGATGGTGTTCAACAGTTTCGTAGGGGTAGTTACATAGCTGGCACTCTGGGGAGTGTTGTGGCTGTATTCTGTTTAGGTGTCCATTGAGTGGAGATTGTTGCGTTCTAAGTCTGAAGATGGTGGCCTGGTCCCTTCTTGTTAGATGGTTAATGCTGTCATTAGGATCAGGGCCAGACATGTGTCTATAAACCTCTCTTCCAGTGTCTCCCATGGCCCATCTGTTCAACCAAGTCTCTTTGTTTATAGCTCTTATCAGTGTTTTTGCTGTCTGGAGGGTTGTCGCTGCAGGTGGTTGTTCTTGTGTTGCTCCTCTCTTTGCCAATCTGTCAGCTCTGTCATTACCTGGTGTGCCGGAGTGACCTGGAATCCACTGCATCACTATTCTGATGTTGTATGAGGTAATAAGCTGATCAGCATCCAGGATTATCTTGGCTATATCAGTTCTGCAGCGTTCACTGCCCTCCAGAGCTTGAAGGGCAGACATTGAATCTGTGAAGATGACAATATTTTGGACCTTTGAAGGGTAAACATCCATTACAGTCTTTAGGTGGTATACTGCTGTTTCCAGTGCAATTATTTCAGCTTCATAGTTTGAACAGAATTCCCCGCATGCATCAAAAATTTCTTCAACAGATCCATCGGGATAACCTATGTAGATTCCGTAACCTGCTTTAATGGTAGCTTTAAATGCTGATCCATCAGTATAGACATGTATCCATTCTTGGGGGCAAGAATCAACGGTCTTTAGTGATGAGTTCATAAGAGCGCAGTTGACAAAGACATGATGTTTTGCTTGGCATAAAAAATTCAATATTTATGAATACATTCTAGAAAATATTACTTGAATTACTGATGTGACAGCTAGTGATATTAACTCTTCTGCTCTTGAAACTCTTTTGGTGAAAAAGGCATATAAGCTGGAAATTGCCTAAAAATCCTTTAAAAATTGTGCAGGTCACAAATAAATTTAAAAAAAAAAAATCATACACACAGAGAAATGTTTTTAAAAATAAATATACACTTGTATGAATGGAAGCAATCAGTAAACATGACCAGAGTGGACAAATAGATACAATACATTTCCTTGGCGCAAAACAATGTATTAGATAACAAATACCTTTACTTTGTCAGTCTGTCACTATGCAACTCCGAATGCTGAGGGCAAATTATGATGTCATAATGGCTAAAAAATCGGTTTTGTTTTCACAGTGATCTCCGTTTTCCAAATGGTCATCATCATAATGTAGCAGGTGCTTTGCAGAATGTCGCTGTCATCGCAGTCTGCCTCAAAGAAACTAGGTCTCTCGCCAGCTCTCCCGCCTCATGTACTTTTATACTCAAGGAGTCACTTATATCCTGTGCCCATCTTCGTGTTAGTCGGCCTCTGCCCCTCCTTTCTGGTACCATGCCTTCTGGAATTATTTTTTCCAGTCCGTCGTGGCGCTTGATATGACCAAAATATTTCAGCTCCCGAGACAGGATGCTGATTGTTAGCCAATCTTCCTTTCTTCCTTTCCCAGTGCTACTTTCACTAAATATAATGTCTGGCCCTGCTAAACTTTGCACAGGCGCCAAGAGAACCTGAATGTTAACTAGACCTGTCAGGGACTGGTCAGCAATGTGGGTTTATCACCTTTTCCTGGTATTCCTAATGGATGGCAATCGTGCATTGTTGACTTATCGGGGTGAAAGAGTTTTAAAAAATATGAAGCTGTTTCCTTATGTGGCTAACTTTCAGATCAAAATATGCAAAGCTCTTTGTCCTTAATTCTTTTCAGAATTATCAAGAAAACTCCAATACTGGCAATTCACAGTAAAATGAAGAACAAAAGAAGCAAAATTATATCTACATTCAGAGAGATGGCCAGGTAAACTTTTGTTGCAGTAAAGGAACTTTATTGGCCAAATATAACCCTTTTCTCAAATTGATCTTTGCAGTTAAGTGTTTGTATCATTAATTAAGTTAAAATGTTTGTTATCACAGTTGGTGTGAAATGCCATGTATCTGATAACAACATGTATTTAATCATAAATGGTTTGAGATGTTATTTTTACCTTTTTTTTCTCTAATCCCTGTTCTGCCTTTCAGCATCAGGTTATAAAGAGTTACTTGGTTGTAAGCCTTGGTGTGTTGGTTGTGAGTTGTTAGTCAAGGTTGCAACTTCACAGCTGATGAGCGACACCCATAACTGTTGTTACTGTACCATTTAACCCTACCAGACCTGAGGCCCTGAACCTAACTGCCCCCTGTAGCTGAGCACCTGGGCATTAACATGAAAAAATCACCATGATATGCATGTGGTTAGAATAAGATGAAACTTGGAGACATTGTAGAAAATAGGTTTACCTTTCATCTAGCGCCAACATTTCACTTTTGTGTACCAATCCACCCAGCAGGATCAGCCTTGTTTCACAAAGTGAGCACCAGATGTTGCTGTTTGAGGGACATGCCCCCATTCTCTGACTATCAATCTAGTTTTCAATCTATAATTTTCAAGATTCTCCTCATCACTCGAGCTGTCGCTGACTGTGTCATTTGAACCGGGAACGCATTCTCCATGAAATTCTGACTCCTCAGAGTCTGAATCAACCAGAGTATTGATCACCTGTTGGACTGTGAAAAGCCTAAACCTACTTCATTTTCCTGTCGATGTGCTTGGTTCATCAGCAGTTCGTTTCATTGTGAATTTTCAGAATCTTTCATGTTAAACCACACAAAGTAAATCCAAACACATGTGGGCAGCAATTCCCAATGACTAACCACGAGGTTTGATCACGATTGGTTGGTAATTTTTAGTTTTTGACATGTTTTATCACATAGTACGCAAAGTACCGAAAATTTATGTACAGCAGATTAGGGGCAGATTAGGAAATTACCAGAAAAGCGGTACAACGGTCTGGTAGGGTTAAAAACTAGCCCAAAAAAAACATATATGTCACAGCAAAATTGTGGAAGCTTCTTTACGCAGTGAAAATGAATAAGGTAGGTGTGCCATCACTAGCAGTCTGCGACAAGTTGGTGCAAGAAGTCTTGTCAAGAAAGAAGCCAGCAGTGTACACGCAGTACAACATTACATGCCCTGGTATGTCTTGTGTAGATGCTGGTATTCATAGCCTCAGAAACTCCATCTATCCATTGCTTGTATTGGCTGTTTCTGTTTCTAGCTGTGCTTCTGTGATAGGGCTCTCTGTGATGCTTTTTCTCTTGCAGTCTTGACACATGCCAGAATCATTTGATCTGTTATCTTTTATTTAATGATGCACTGATTCCATCCCTGCTTGTTTCTTTATATCTATCATTTCTGGGTACAAGTATCATTTAAGTCCGCAAAAAGAGAGTGACTTCCTTTGCCATTCATGCCTCATCGGGTCGCATGACCTATCTTGGGGAGGGGGGTGTTATGAGATGGCTTCATTGGGCATTTGCTCGCTGTATATAATGTTTGTTGGAGGTTGTGTTGTCGTGAGTCTCTTTGAGGGGCATCAGACACCGGTGTACTTGTAAGAGGCACTGTAGGAAGCACCACAGGAACGATGGGTCGTGAGTATCGAAACTGGGATATTTTTGTGTTCTGTGTTCGTAGCGGTGGCTTCCCTTCGAATGCAAGGGTTTGATTAACCTCCACTGAAATATCACATTAAAAAATGACACAGTTTTTTGTCATTTTTATCCCATATCATTTTCACATGTCACTCTCTATAGCCATATGACTTTCATCCATGATCACCTTCCACTGACATGCCAAATTCATCTGTGGATATATTTTCAGTGGTATTCTAATGTGTACGGATGTCATGGCCAGAGGAATCGACATTCCAGATATCAACTGGGTCATACAATATGATCCTCCAAGCTCTGCAAGGTAATCTTACTTTGTGATCTGATTATTTGTTCACGTTTATTTTTTCTACAGATGGTTGTTTGCTCATTTTGGTTATTTGTTTGTGTTGTTGTTTATTGCTAAAGATTCCCGTATGGGTTTTTCTCAGGCTTCATTTTGAGGAGAGAGAAAATAGACACATTGCCTTCCCCTCCCCCGAATCACCCTTAACAACAATGTCGTAGGATGCAACCAGTCAGGGGTGTTTCCTTCAAAATCAGATTACCTCTGCCTGAGTTGAGTTGATTCAAGAACTGTCATCACAACACTCGGGGCATTCCCATAAGCCCTCCGTCCCCATCCTTAGCAGGCTGTGAAGAGTTCCGATACTAATGGTGCCAGTAGCATTCTGATTAAACATCCGTCTTGCTTTTCCTTTGTGCTTTGAGCATCTGCCAGAACCTCTCATCACTCAACGCTGAATCAGTCTCACCAGACTGTGGTGATCCATCTGCTTCTCCGAACTGTAACGCTCTTCCACAAGGCATTAACCACGTCTGCCTTGTCATGCATCAGTATTCCACCAAGTTGCTCAGAGCTTACCAGTCTGTCTGCCTGTTCATTTCTCAACACACTGGCATATCCCTTGCAGTGAAGAATGCCACTCTGCACAAAGCATGACTGTCCTGACCTTCCTCAGCATGCTTTCTGAGTACCTCTGCCGGAGAGGCAAGGACCAGGCAGTCTGCTCAGAAATGAGCTAGATCTGTAAAATGGATGTGCATGTGAAACTCAAGTTCAGGAACAAGACTAGAAGTGGAGAAATAACCAGAATGTCCTGACAGAGTTTTTGCTGATGAACACTAGGAAGAAGAAGAATGCCAAGGTTGTTATACAAAAATGGTGAAACTATCGGGGTGACTGCAGTCAAGCTAATACAGTGAATTCCAGAGAAATTTGACTAAAAAGCTCAACAAAATGGGAAAGAGGAAAACGTGCACAAAACAACACAACATAACGTTTCGGTCGGGCAGCCTTTTTTTAAACATAAGTGAAATACACAAACGAGGAATCTGGATTCCTCGTTTGTGTATTTCACTTATGTTTGAAAAAGTTCATGTGATTATTTGTTCAAGTTGTTTTTTATTGCCAATGTTATTTGTACAGGTAGTCGTTTGTTCATGTTGCTGTTTATTGCCAAGTTTATCTTTTCAAATTTCTAGTTACTGTTTGCTTGTAGTTGGTTTGATTATTTGTTGACACAATTATTTGTTAAGATGTTGTTCTCTTCACAAATTTCTTTGTGTGTGTGCTTACTTTCTCAAATGGTTGAATGTTTACATAGTTGTTTATTCTCATGGATGTTTGTTCAGATGACTGTTTATTTACACTGTTGTATGTTTATATCGGCGTCTGTGGCTCAGGTGTTGCGAACACGCTTCATAATGCCATGGTGCTGGGTTCGATCCTTGCTGCAGACGATTTGTCTTGCACTGATTTTTGACAGTAGTACCAAGTACTGACCGTTCAGAAGAAATGGCAAACTACTGAATGTAAAATTTGCCTAGAAAAACAACAGCCCAAAAAAATCCTGGGGTTGGTTCTGCAACGTCCTGTAAAAGGATATGCAACTTAGTTCATGGTATAGTTTTTATTTTAACGTTTATTTATGTTGTTCATGTTGTTGTTTGTTCTGTTTGTTTACAGCACAAAGTCTAAGATTTTTACTGAATACATTTTTGGGGTTTCAGTTCTTTTGTCCATCGCTGTGGCCGGACGGCTAGAATAGGCAATCAGGGAAATGCCCTGGTCATGCTGCTGCCCACGGAAGATTCCTACATCAAATTCATTGAGCTCAACCAAAAGGTGCCGCTGACAGAAATGCCCAAACAGTCGGACGCTTCAGAGGTGTCAACCAGGCTTCAGACGCTGGCTATAAATGACAGGTACAAATTTGTGGATATATTCTAATTTATATATACTAATGGAGATGTAGCTAGATATAGTTTAATGGAGATGTAGCTAGATATAGTCTAATGGAGATGATGCTAGATATAGTCTTATAGAGAAAGTTCTAGATATAGTCTAATGGAGATGGAGCTAGATATAGTCTAATGGAGATGTAGCTAGATATAGTCTAATGGAGATGATGCTAGATATAGTCTTATAGAGAAAGTTCTAGATATAGTCTAATGGAGATGGAGCTAGATATAGTCAAATGGAGATGGAGTTAGATATAGTCTAATGGAGATGGAGCCAGATATAGTCTAATGGAGATGATGCTAGATATAGTCTTATAGAGAAAGTTCTAGATATAGTCTAATGGAGATGGAGCTAGATATAGTCTAATGGAGATGATGCTAGATATAGTCTTATAGAGAAAGTTCTAGATATAGTCTAATGGAGATGGAGCTAGATATAGTCAAATGGAGATGGAGTTAGATATAGTCTAATGGAGATGGAGCTAGATATAGTCTAATGGAGATGATGCTAGATATAGTCTTATAGAGAAAGTTCTAGATATAGTCTAATGGAGATGGAGCTAGATATAGTCTAATGGAGATGATGCTAGATATAGTCTTATAGAGAAAGTTCTAGATATAGTCTAATGGAGATGGAGCTAGATATAGTCTAATGGAGATGGAGTTAGATATAGTCTAATGGAGATGGAGTTAGATATAGTCTAATGGAGATGGAGCTAGATATAGTCAAATGGAGATGGAGCTAGATATAGTCTAATGGAGATGATGCTAGATATAGTCTTATAGAGAAAGTTCTAGATATAGTCTAATGGAGATGGAGCTAGATATAGTCTAATGGAGATGATGCTAGATATAGTCTTATAGAGAAAGTTCTAGATATAGTCTAATGGAGATGGAGCTAGATATAGTCTAATGGAGATGGAGCTAGATATAGTCTAATGGAGATGGAGTTAGATATAGTCTAATGGAGATGGAGTTAGATATAGTCTAATAGAGAAAGTGATAGAAATAGTCTAATGGAGATTGATCTCCGATCAAAAGTCAAGATTAACTTTCAGTCCAGAGGAATGCATTTTATGTTCATAGATTTCTACCTAAACGCCAATGAAGGCAAGATGCTCTGATTCTACATCTCTCATTACTACCCCCTTGGGCCTCTGAAGGAAAAAAAAAAACAATCACCTTACTGAGGATTTTAGCTAGGTCTTCCAAATGAAAGCCAAGCGTTCTTAACCCTACCAGACCTGAGGCCCTGAACCTAACTGTCCCTACAACCTGAGCACTAACACGCAAAAAACCAACATGATATACAAAAAAAAATAGTTACATGCAAACAAGTGGTTAGAATAAGATAAAACTTGGAGACATTGTAGAAAATAGGTTTACCTTTCATCTAGCGCCAATATTGCACCATTGTGTGCCAATCCACCTAGTAGGATCAGTCTTGATTCACAAAGTGAGCACCAGATGTTGCTGTTTGAGGGACACACCCCTTTCTCTTACTATCGATCTAGTTTTAAATCTATAATTTTCATAATTCTCCTCCTCACTCTAGCTCTAACTGACTGTGTCACTTCAACTGGGAACGTATTCTTTATGAACGTATTCACAGTCTGAATTAACCAAAGTATCGATCACCTGTTGGACTGTCAAAAGCCTAGACCTATGTCGCTTTCTTGTCAAAGCCGCTTGTTTCATTGATAATTTTCCGAATTTTTTTTACATCAAACCACACAAAGAAATCTCAACACAAGTCGGAAGTCATTCGCAATGACATACAACGAAGTCTAATGGCGATTGGCTGGTTATTTTTAGGAAAACCGGGCCAGCGGTTTGGTAGGGTTAACCATTTAGCCAGCCACTCTTAGAGATTATTAAAGAATAGCAACATTAACTTAAAATGCATTTCTGTTGTCCGTAAGTAAAGAAACTTGTAGAATAGGAAGCCATTCCAGCAAACAATTTTAGGATAAAGATGACAGTATATTGGGCACATGCGTTCGGAGAAACAAACAGGGAAATCACCAAACAGGCATTGCGATGGGACACGAAGTGATTGAAGTAACATAGGTGCCCAAGAGAAACTCATTGATGAATGTTTTTGACATGGTGAGATGAGTGCAGTCAAGAATTGACATCACAGCACTTGGGGCATTCCCATGCATGCTCCTTCCTCATCTTCAGCAGCCAGTGCAGAGTTCCAGTACAGATGGTCCCGGTCACAATCTGGTTATATGTCCATCTTCCCTTTCCCCTGAGTGTAGTATTAAAGGCAACAAAGTAGGGTTGGCATGGGACACCGCTATCTGATCCTCTAAAAAAAAAACTTCATCTGTTTCTTCTCCTAATCCACCGGCTGTAAACTCCAGTGGAAAGCTCTAGGTATTTATCCACCTCCAGACTTTTAGTCTTGTTCCAGAATCTGAGCATTGTGTCCTCATCTGTTTTACGTATCTGGCTTATTTGTATGCACAATGGAGGTTGGCTGCAGTCTATCCACTACTAACTATAAAAAAAAATATTTTTTAATTTAAAATCTCATTAACACAAACTTGCATAAGAAGAACATCCGGTTAACATTAAACAAAATTTTAGTCTTGGCTTGCTTTGCGGAAAAAAAAAAAACATCAGTTTTAGTCGCTGCTAAGATGTATTAATTTGAGGTTTTCCCTCAAAGTTGGGGTACATCTGCCTGTGAGGAAGGGGAATGGCAAAAGCTAGTAAAACGGTAGGTCCAAATGGACGATCTGCCAGAATTTACAGCTGGTGAACAAAGAAAAAGAGGAGTCCCTGGTTAGCACAGATAATTTCTTAACATGAATTAATTTTTCAGTAGCTTGGAATTCACTGTGGTATTGCTAAATTACATTGTGAGGTTTTAATCTCTTCCCTGGTGTGGCTCTCATATCACTGCCTGAAAGCCACAAGGACGTGTTTTTTTCCTACCACCCTAGTAAATGTCAAGGATTATATTGTAAAACTATGTCATTGTAACACCAAACCACAGAGTTATGCTTCCTGAATAATGATAAAAGGGAGGGGGTGGGGGGTGGATATGAAGCTCACAGTGTTACTAGTGACATTTGTTGTGGGTGCCAATAGCACACAAACAAGTGACAGTGTCAGCTAATATATTTTCAACAGTTTTTGTTTATAATGTCGGAATTTCTAACATTTTTTTCCCCAGATCGGTGTACGAGAAAGGGCTTCGGGCTTTTGTTTCTTATATTCAGTCATATGCTAAACATGAATGCAATATGATACTACGGGTTAAAGGTATGTGTATGTTGTTCAGATATCTTGATACTACGGGTTAAAGGTATGTGTATGTTGTTCAGATATCTTGATACTACGGGTTAAAGGTATGTGTATGTTGTTCAGATATCTTGATACTACGGGTTAAAGGTATGTGTATGTTGTTCAGATGTCTTGACACTACAGGTTAAAAAGTTGTTCAGATATCTTTAAAAAAATATTTTTATCAGCTTATCAAGAGTAAACAATGATTGTGTTGTATGTCAAAGTCATTGTAGTGTGTCAAGAGTAAACAATGATTGTGTTGTATACCAAAGTCATTGTAGTGTGTCAAGAGTAAACAATGATTGTGTTGTATGCCAAAGTCATTGTAGTGTGTCAAGAGTAAACAATGATTGTGTTGTATGCTAAAGTCATTGTAGTGTGTCAAGGGTAAACAATGATTGTGTTGTATGCCAAAGTCATTGTAGTGTGTCAAGGGTAAACAATGATTGTGTTGTATGCCAAAGTCATTGTAGTGTGTCAAGAGCAAACAATGATTGTGTTGTATGCCAAAGTCATTGTAGTGTGTCAAGAGTAAACAATGATTGTGTTGTATGCCAAAGTCATTGTAGTGTGTCAAGAGCAAACAATGATTGTGTTGTATGCCAAAGTCATTGTAGTGTGTAAGAGTAAAAAATGATTGTGTTGTATACCAAAGTCATTGTAGTGTGTCAAGAGTAAACAATTATTGTGTTGTATGTCAAAGTCATTGTAGTGTGTAAGAGTAAAAAATGATTGTGTTGTATGTCAAAGTCATTGTAGTGTGTCAAGAGTAAACAATTATTGTGTTGTATGCCAAAGTCATTGTAGTGTGTCAAGAGTAAAAAATGATTGTGTTGTATGTCAAAGTCATTGTAGTGTGTCAAGAGTAAACAATGATTGTGTTGTATGCCAAAGTCATTGTAGTGTGTCAAGAGTAAACAATGATTGTGTTGTATGTCAAAGTTATTGTAGTGTGTAAGAGTAAAAAATGATTGTGTTGTATACCAAAGTCATTGTTGTGTGTCAAGAGTAAACAATTATTGTGTTGTATGCCAAAGTCATTGTAGTGTGTCAAGAGTAAACAATGATTGTGTTGTATGTCAAAGTCATTGTAGTGTGTAAGAGTAAAAAATGATTGTGTTGTATACCAAAGTCATTGTAGTGTGTCAAGTAAACAATGATCCGGTTGTGTGTCAAAGTCATTGTAGTGTGTCAAGAGTAAACAATGATTGTGTTGTATGCCAAATTCATTGTAGTGTGTAAGAGTAAAAAATGATTGTGTTGTATGTCAAAGTCATTGTAGTGTGTCAAGAGTAAACAATGATTGTGTTGTATGTCAAAATCATTGTAGTGTGTCAAGAGCAAACAATGATTGTGTTGTATGCCAAAGTCATTGTAGTGTGTCAAGAGCAAACAATGATTGTGTTGTATGCCAAAGTCATTGTAGTGTGTAAGAGTAAAAAATGATTGTGTTGTATACCAAAGTCATTGTAGTGTGTCAAGAGTAAACAATTATTGTGTTGTATACCAAAGTCATTGTAGTGTGTAAGAGTAAACAATTATTGTGTTGTATGCCAAAGTCATTGTAGTGTGTCAAGAGTAAACAATTATTGTGTTGTATGCCAAAGTCATTGTAATGTGTAAGAGTAAACAATTATTGTGTTGTATGCCAAAGTCATTGTAGTGTGTCAAGAGTAAACAATGATTGTGTTGTATGCCAAAATCATTGTAGTGTGTCAAGAGCAAACAATGATTGTGTTGTATGCCAAAATCATTGTAGTGTCAAGAGTAAACAATGATTGTGTTGTATGCCAAAGTCATTGTAGTGTGTCAAGAGTAAACAATGATTGTGTTGTATGCCAAAGTCATTGTAGTGTGTCAGAAGTAAACAATGATCATTTATGCCAAAGTCATTGTAGTTTGTCAAGAGTAAACAATGATTGTGTTGTATGCCAAAGTCATTGTAGTGTGTCAAGAGTTAATTAAGCCAGGGCTTGGTGAAGCAAGGGTGCATACAGGCACCCACATGGTGTCATACGTCATTTGGGCACCACACCTACCTACGCTAGAGAATACGTCATTGGGAATCAAGTCTTCCTGCGTCAGTGGGAGACCAAACACCACTACGCTGGAGAGCAGTCAACAGAACAGTATTTGAGGTCAAACCTCCTTACGTCTTTTACGCCAGTAATAATCACCATCAGCATGTGCCGTGCCAGTGAGAATGGGCAGCTATGGTTTGTCCGCTGAGGGAACTCTGTGTGTATGTGGATAACTCACATTTATAAGTAATTTTTCTAGACACCTGGCAAGTGTGCTATGCATCCCCCAATTGTACGCGTTAGATAGCCTGATTGAAAAGGCTAATATAAGCAGAAATTAAAATATTTAAAACATTGATAAGACCAGTCATTTTAAATGGTTCTGAAATTTGGGGCACAGATAAAAGAGATGAAGCCTTATTACAGGTTTTCGAAAACAGTCTTACGACAAATCTTTGGACTCATCAAAGATGCAGACAGCAGGGAATAGAGACTGAGAAGCAGTAACAAAATTCATAATCTGTTTGAATCACCACTGATCACTGGCATCATGAGAGCTAGTAGACTGAAATAGTTGGGGTATATTGAAAGAATGTCAGATGACAGAGAAGTAAAAACTGTATACAGAAGGGAGATGAAAGGTCGTAGACCATGAGGCAGACCAAGAATAATATGAAGAGATAATGTCTAGACAGACCTGCAAACACTTGGTGTCACCAACTGGAAAGAGAAGGCCAACCAGAGAGATGAATGGAGGCGGGTGATATCTGCAGCAATGAACCTCAAGGGCTCAGAATGCTGAAGAAGAATATAAGCAGAAAATAATAAATCATAATGGGGGTGGGGGGGAGTTGTGTGTGTTTTGAAAAGAGGAGGGAATATTCTTTTACTTATTTTGTGTTTGGAGCACTTTGAATTAACAAAACATGTTTAGTTCTATATTCATTTACTTTGCCAGATCTGGATTTTGGTCGTCTAGCTCAAGGTTTTGGGCTTCTACATGTGCCCAAAATGCCAGAATTGAAGGGGAAGTCAGTCTCCAGTTTCCAACCTATCGAGGTTGATTTAGCCTCAATACCCTACAAAGACAAGATACGCGAGAAGTTGAGACAGGAGAAACTGGCGTCTGAGAAAGGTGTTCAGAAAGTCAAACTGTCAAGGCCTCCTCGAGTCAGTAATGTATTTGAAAATATAAATTTTAGATAATAATTTTCTATAAATTATGGGAGCCATAATAGCCCAGTAGGGAGTCGTGGTGGTGTAGTGGCTAAACGCTTGCCTGTGGATCGGAAGGTCATGGGTTTGGGTCCTGACTGAGCCATACTTTAAAAAAAAATTTTTTAATGACCTTGACTCCCAGGTCAACCCAGTCTTGAGTGGGTACCAGGTGCAGTCATGTGAAGTAAAGGCGGTGAGCGTGATGCTGACTACATCACCCACCAAGTGCTGAGTGGTCTAAAATATATAGGTCTAACCCTATATGCCTAATACGCCTGGAAAAGGGTCCTTTACTTTATTGTAGCCCAGGGTTAGGTGCTTGTCTGCCAACTTGAAGGCCTTGGGTTCGAAACCACATTAAGGTGGATTTTTTTTTCAAAATTCAGCTTAGTTCCCAGATTGATACAGTCTTCAGTGGGTGCCAGGTAATGTCCTGGTAAGTAAAGGCGGCCGGCTGGCTGTTGATCACATCACCCAGCAAGTGACGACGTTTAGTCTAAAATAAAAAGAGATTAGCATCATATGCCCACTGCTGGCGTGAAAAAGGACTTTACTTTGTTGTTGTTGCTGTTAGAAATGCATGACTAGAGACTTATGGAAGTGTTTAATTTTACAAAATTCTTGTGATGTAATAACTTTGTTGTTTTCTTATCTTTGTTCACCAGCTGTAAACTGTGGCGGAAAGTCCAGGTTGTTCATCCTTTTGGACTTTGGTGTTGTGCCAGTGCCTGAGTTTTGTGTGTACATCTGTTTTACTGGCTTATCTGTGTGCTGTTGGTTGTTCCTTGCTACTCAGGCAGATGCACTCCATTCTTCTTCTTCTTCTTTGTTCACCAGCTGAGAATTCGGGCGGAAGGTCCCGGTAGATTGTCCATTTGGACTTTTGGCTTTTACCTGGACCTGAGTTTTTTTGTGTACAACCGTTTTACTGGCTTTTGCCGTTCCCTGTCTCATGGGCAGATGTACTCCGACTTTGAGGGAAGATGCACTCCATTGAAGGAAACTTCCAGTTAGTCTACTCATATGACATGCTTGGGAGGGGGAGGGGGGGGGGTTGGATTTATTCTTGTTTTCCCCCACAATGCGGGTCTCAGAACTCAAAAGCTCTGTATAAAATTATTACAATATTTATTTATGTATTATATTTTATGTTTTTTAAACAATAAGGACTGCTCCCTGGAGCAAGCACAACAGGAGGTTTCTGAGCACCTGAAAATGTCCCACTTCTGAACACATGTAATCTTAGACAAAGTCTATCTTAAAGTCTATCTTCTACTTTTGCCGTTTATTCCCTCATGTTATGTTATCACAATCGATGTCACTGCACATTGGGCAATCCCATACTTGTTCACTTCTAACTGTTCCCATCAGAGGTTGTAGTGCATCTGCTGGAGAGGTGAGGAAACAACAGTCTGCATACAAATAAGCCAGATCTGTAAAACGAATATGCACACAAAACTCAAGTTCTGGAACAAGACTTGAGCCCAAAAGTGGATGAACAACCAGAACTTTCCACTGGAGTTTTCAGCCGGTGAATGCTAAGAAGTAGTTCTCTTTATTATTCTCAACATTTCTTCATTAAAACCATATGTCTACGGCTTCCAGATAATTCTTCATTATTCCTCCAATAGTCCATGATTCACTTCCATATATTGGGATAGGAATTATATTGCTTTTGAGAATTCTGTTTCTTTTATGAATTGATATAGAAGATTGCATAGAATTTAGTAAAATGCTGCCTTTGCTTGAGCTGTTCTATATTTAGCTTTTTTAAAATCCAAACAACAACAAAAACTTAACCTAGACTGTTTGGACAGTAGGAAACTAAAACAATAAGGATTAAGAGGAAAATAACAAAGAATGTTGAATTTGGAATTGACATCATTGCACTCAGGACACTCCCATAGGTGCTCAGTCCCCATCTTCAGCAGCAAGTGACGTTCCAAATCCGATGGTACCAGTAAAAGAACAAAGAAAACATTAACCCCACTGATTACTCAAATTATTTCACTATTTTCTTACTCACATACCATGTTAACTTCATCGGCCTCCTCTGCATTTTTCAGAATAATTATTTACCTTATGTTTTCACCTTTTTCCTGCATGCTTTTTGTCTGTATCTGCATTGACTTGACCTGTCCCTTTCTTCTTTCCTAGATAGAAGCATGGTCAAAACATAAAGACAAGAAGGAAAAGAGAAAACTGAAGAAGCAAGATAGAACACAGAAAGGTCAAAAAAGAAAAATAGAAGAAGATAAAGATGATGAGAATGATAACATGGATGATTTTGACGAGGACATCAGATTGATGAAGAGGTTGAAGAAGGGCAAGGTAAGTTATCATCATCATATATTATTTCTGCCATTTAGTGTCATGGGGAGGTATAAGTTGCCAGGTGGCACTGGCTATTGTCATGCTGTGAAGGCGTAGAATAGCAAATCTCAACCTACGCATTGTGAACTTTTTTGGGGTCAAACAACCATTTCACAGGGGTCACCTAAGACCACCGGAAACCACACATTCATTGAAGTGATGAAGTAGCAACAAAAATAATTGTATGCTTCGGGGTGGCTACAACATGGGGAACTGTATTAAACGTATCTGCAGCGCATAGAAACGGATGGCGTTTGGCGTCTGCCAGTGACGTAGGTCTTTGTATGAGTCGAGTGCTCTGATTGGCTCAACAAAGCATTTCCTCAAGACCAATGAAAATGTGTCTTTTATGCTGTGAGCCATAAAAATTGATTGTATAGGGCTCGTACAACAGAACAATTTACAACTTAAATGAAGTCTCTAAGTCAACTACAAGTGGAGAAACAATTTTTTTTTAGTTTTTGCATATGTAATGAGCTTTAAAACTCCAATAAACATGCTTCAGCAAAGGCAGAAATACAGCTTTAAAACATACTCCGTTTTAAACCCCGTTTGCACAGTTGTTTTCTACTATGGATAATTGTGAATAATGTACGGAAACCCAAAAAGGTCAAATTTTACGATTTCAACTTGGTCCCTCTCCTTAAAGGGTTGTGGCATTAAGAAGGTGGAGAGCCACAGGCGTAGAGTGTCTTTAATGTTGTTAGTCTATAATTTTTTGTGGTCGTCATCTTACTTGTGTAGCTGATTGTCTGAGATGCAGAGCCTGTGATGGTAGCTGGTGTTGCAGTGATAACCAGAAACTGATGTCGCCCAATCTTTGATCCTGTTAGTGAAACACCTGTTGTGGACAAACTCAGACTTTAGGAGACGGTTTCTGTAGGGTAGAGCTGATGTCATAAATGCTGTATGGACTAGACTGGTGAATAATATGTGTTCCAGGGCCCAATTATAGCAGGAAAAGAAGGATAGATGCACTGTCCCCCTAACACGCCTGAGAAGAGAGAGTCAGCATACAGAAAAGCCAGATCTGTAAAATGGATGTGCACAAAAAGCCAAGTTGTGAGACAAGAGTAAAGTTTGCAAGTTGACAACAACCAGAACTTTCCCCAGGAGTTTACTGCCAGTGAAGACAAGGAAGAAGGCCAGTCTCTGACCCGACTACATGACCTGCAAGTAAAGCTTGGCAAAGCACTCCCTGCTGCCTTTGAGGTCAAGATAGGAAAAATTATACTAACTTCATATGGAAGTGGTCTGTAAAAGCGTCTTGTGATGGATGCTGTGTCAGATGAGTCCTCTGTAGTCACTTTCGTCACTTGTTATAGCATGTCTTGGAAACTAAAGCACTTTTTTCTATGTTAAACAGCACAGTGCTTTAGAATGGTATGCTTTCTGATGTAAGGATCAATATGAAGGCACACCAGGCAAATCCATAGGTGCCCTATCTCCTGCAGCAAATGTCTTGAGGTGTAGATGCTAACTGTTCCCTTAGCACACCTGTTGTACACACCTCATTCTCTTTGTCTCACCTGCATGTGGGATCTACACCTAATTGCTTGTTTCACGCACTCTCACAAAAGTTATTTCATCTATCCTCCTGTCTTCTATCAGAATTCACTCATAAATAGTTTTTTAAAATATCTAGTGTCTCTCGTCCAGTTTGAGAGTTCCCATAGCTATCACTTTTGTAGCCAAACAATCAGCTCTTTCATTCCCTGGCAGTTCTGCATGTCCCTGGCAGTATATCCACGTAAGTCCTTGTATGCCTTCTGAAAGAAGTCGCAGAGGTGGACACCAGACATTAAGGACAAGGTGGGCATGACAGTGCTAGTGTTAGGGAAACTGGTAAAAGCAACAGTCTGTCCAGCAGACCAGGATGAGAGCCACAGTCTGCAAAGGACCTGCTACATGAACTGTTGTAAAAGTTGCCAGGAAAAGCAAATCATCTTCATCATCAAGTTCCTTGCCAGCTGGCGTAGGCGTTCTCTTATCTCCACTGATCTCGGTCTTTGGGGTTCTGGATCTATTCCACTGATGATATGCCACCATGCCACTCTCTTGAGCCATTCATCATCATTTTTCTTGGTCTGCCTCTGCCTCTTCTACCAGTGATCTTTCCAGTCGTCACAATATTCTCCAGTACTCCTTTTCTCATCACATGACCTAAGTACATTGTTTGTATCCTTCTCATTGTTGTAAATAATGTTCTGCTGTCATTAGTTATTTCCAGGAAATCATGGTTATTTATTCGCAACATTCTTCTCAAGAACCACATCTCAGTTGCCTCCAAACTCTTCTTAATTTGTTTGCTCACATTCCAAGATTCACTGCCATTCAACAGAACAGGCTCGATATAACATTTCTCTGTAGCAAGTGCTATAAATAATTGTTATTTTTCACTCAACAGATTTCTAAGGAGCAGTTTGACAAGGAATTTGCTGCAGAACTCTCCGACTGACTGAGTGACCAATTGGCTTGAAAAACCATTATTGCAGTGTGGCATGTGAGATGATTGGTGATCATTTATGACGACTGAGTGCATTGGCTCAATTTTTGGCAATATGTTTATGTTTAAAAGC